GAAAGGCATTATAGAAGTTGGAGAGATGAAGGAAAACCAAGTTCTATGGATAGTCAACTTCTTCACTGCAATGGATTCGACGTTTTAGTGTAGATACTAACCCCGCTATCAAGCAAGTGATACAAAGAGTTGAACCAAGGAAAATATATACATAGTAAGTATATACAGTTGACAAGGTTGATGTACATTGGATTGCTAATTAGTGATTTGAGCAGAGGAAGTTGATGTACAGGGGTAATTGGTTGTGTACAGATTCAGATACATATGCAGAGTGAGTTTATACATTGGATGAGGTAGATGTGACATTTATTCCTTCATCTAACGGCTTGCTACACATATGCACATGCAAGCGAGTATTTGAAGCTTAGTGTGTGGTGAAACACTTTGCAGAGCACGATGAGAGTATTTTAACGACTTATGACAGCCGCAAACAGTTATGACACATGATCGGTGATTAAAAGCATAAATAAGAATATATTTTTTGTCGGTTTGGTTGTTGTTGTTTTTTAAAAACAAACGATTAAAGATATTGCAATTTTGTGCACATCACCATCAATTTTCTTTTTATAAAACAAGATTATAATTGCGATTGCCCTGTCACTTTCCGAAGGCGATTAGGTGCCTGACTCTGAGAGCGTGGATTCGAATCCCGGATAGGAGTAAACCCAACGAAACTGCTACAATTTTTACTTTCCTAAGAAAGTGTAATCCCAAATATACAATGTGTTAGCTTCAACCAGAGTATTTCATTAAACCCATACGAACATTGCCTGGGTCGGGCACGGTCACCTATTGCGAACGACAGGTAGCATGACAATCGTATAGAAACTGTAGAACACAAACAATATAATAATGATATTAATAATACAGTATATTTGTAGAGCGATGGACTCCATGCAGTAGCGCATGCTCAAAGCGCTACAACATTTTTTTACAGGCTTACTATTATTACCACGGATAATCAAAGCTGCCTGTGAGGCGCTAGAGGGTTATAGTCACATCACTTCCCCCACCGGGATTTAAAACAAGAAACTCTGCTTTTTCTGGAGGTATCTCATGATGGTTCTGTCTCAGTGAGTGAGTTTAGTTTTGCGCAGCACTCAGCAATTTTCCAGAGTCTCGTCACATCACAACCTTCTGTACACATCAGGGATTGTACCGTTACAAGAGACTTATCTTTAGAATTTCATGTGCACCAGGGGCGGTATTCATAAAAGAACTTAAGTCTGAAGTAAAACTTGTAATTTTTGAAAAAAAAAAAGTTTTTCACCTTTTCTGTCTTAAGTTTTGAGATTTTACTGAAGTCATATTCATAATGCAGCTTAGGCTTAAGTTTTGGCCATTTCTGACTTAAATCTTAAGACTGGGCAGGGGTAGGCTTAACTAGAAGGTGTTTGACTTAAGTCAGTAAACAACATGGCTGCCGTAGCGATGAGGCGTCGTTCATTTCACCAAAAAAGGCAAAGGCTCGTTGAATACAGCGATGAAGAATTAATTCGGCGATACCGTCTAGATGGGCATGGCATTAGATTCGTCGCCAATCTAATAGCGTCAGACGTAGAGCCCACCCCAACCACCCGTAACACGCACTGGATGCCACACAAAAGACGCTCATCACACTGAGGTACTTTGCCACCAGAAAATTTCAGTTGTGCAATGCGGACGATGAAGGTGTCAGCCAGCCCAACATTTCCAGAGCTGTGAATGACTGCATAAGAAGTTTGTCATCTGACAGGATTTTCAAACAGTTCGTTCGCTTCCCCCTGCAACGTCGTGACATCAACTTTAATCAGCTTGCAAACCTTCCCGGAGTTGTGGGGGTGATCGACGGAACGCACGTTCAGATTCAAGCCCCAACAGAAAGACTTAGAATTTCTTGAACATGTGTTGTCAGAAAAAGGATTAAGCCTGCTGAAGCGAAAGTTGCAGATGTTAAAGAAGCAAGAGCACCTACTACAGCCCAAGGAGTCAGAAGTTTTCTTGGCCTTGTGAATTTCAGTGGGAGATTCATTGAAAACAAGGCTGCACTTTCCAAACCACTGCGTAAACTGACACGAAGAATAATGTTTTCGTATGGGGAAGTGAACAGAAAACAGCATTTGATACACTCAAGGAAAGGTTAACCAGCACAAGTGCACTTGCGAACTTTGACAAAGAATGCACCTTCTCAGGTAATCACAGATGTTAGTCCGGTCGGGCTATGTGCGGTTCTTGTGCAACGGCAAAACGGTGTCCTAGAATTAACCGCTGGGATTTGCGGATGCAAGCCTATGATTACAGTGTTAAGTACATTAAAAAAGAGAATAATTTTGCTGACTGTCTTTCAAGACTATTAAGGTCAAACCAACAAACTGAGATGAAAAGTGAATCAAGAGAAGCTGACGAGTACTCAGTATGTTAGATTCGTCGCATCGGAATCAACGCCAGATGCCTTGACAACTAGTGATGTTGGAAAAGCGTCTGAATTGGACACTTATTGTCAGGCAGATGGCATGTGATGAAAAATGTGAAGTATGTGCCTGTGAGACAGGAACTCTCAGCAATTGGAAAAAATTCTCTTCGGGGAACAAGATTAGTCATTCCTATGTGCCTCAGGCAAAAAGTGTTGTGTTTGGCTCATGAAGGCCACTCAGAAGTGGTAAAAATGAAACAGAGACTGAGAACAAAGTATGGTGGCCAGGAATTGATGCACAAGCTGAGGCAAACTGCAAGTCATGTCATGGATGTCAAGTTGTGTCGAGTCCAAATCCCCACCCACCCACACACCAATGTTTCGTACAACTTTACCGTCACTAGCGTGGCAACACTTAGCAGCTGATCTCCTCGGACCGTTGCCCTGAGGAGATAATATTCTGGTGCACGTGGACTACTACAGTAGTTTTTTTTAAGTTTACATTCTAAAGAAAACTTCAACTGATGCCATCATCGACCGTTTGAAAAAGGCTTTTCTTACACGTGGTTTGCCATATACACTAATAACAGACAATGGTCCACAGTTCATCAGATAAAGTTTTGGAGACTTTATGAAACAAGAAGGAATAATCATCCATAACACATCCACAGCTTATTGGCCATAGGCAAATTGAGAGGTCGAGAGACAGAACAAGTCACTGCTGAAAACATTGAGGATTGTGGAAGAGAAAAATTGGAAACAGGAGCTGCAACATTTCCTCATGATGTACAGAAGTACGCCGCATTCATCTACAGGAAAATCTCCGGCTGAGATGATTTTTGGTAGAAAAATTAGGACAGAATTGCCAGAACTTATTGACTTTGGACTTGATGATGATGTCAGGGACTTCGTCTCTGTACAACAGATGAAAGGGAGAGATTATGCTGATATGAAGCGATGTGCTCAACATACTCCAATCCAGGCAGGGGATAAAGTGCTCGTTAGACAACAACCTGAGAACAAGTTAAGCAGTAATTTCCATCCCCAACCTTGTACAGTAGTGAATAGATATGGGAATGCAGTTGATCTGGAATCTAGTACAGGTGGCATGTATAGACGACATGTTACTCTTGTTAAAAAGTATGTCACAACCTGATGTTGATATGAAGAACACTAACAGTCATGTTTCTAGTCAGCATCGCGAGTTGTCAGAGACATCAGCGGATGTACGAAATGCAAGTGTTTCTGACAGATCTAAAGTGATAGACATTGACAGTACACCAAGCGCAGCAAGACTCATCTGAGAGACCTATAAGGATAAGGGAGACTCAAAAAAGATTTGGGAACTATGTAATGGGTTATATAAACGCATAAGTGACAATTCAAGTGTTTCAAGGGACAATTCAAAGAAGTGATGGAAGGGAAGCTTAAATGTTTGAGGAAACATTTATTGTCAGAAGGGGTAATTGTTTTATGTAGACCTACAGAAACTGTCTAATTTGATTTCTTAAATTATTACTTGACATCAAATATTTGGTAACGCAATTTCCAGATAAAACTGTGAAGTATAGGTTTAAGTAGGTTTCCATTCAAGTTATACTTTTCATGTTTTTTTTTAAGTCAAGTGGTATTGAAATAATGAAGGTTGTTAATTTAATTTGGCATTATTAACATCTGAATGTGAATCTTTAAGTCCGCCGAAAAGAATGCGTTTACTTACGTATTATGATAGTAATCATTCACTTTTTTGGAAAAAAGGAGGGATGTAGTTTTTCTGCTTATTGTCCGGTTTATGTTGTATTCTCCGGTTATTAAATAGCAGCGGAAATGTATCTGCGCATGGGCAGACAGAATGTCCCGTCAAGTAAAGTGTGGGAGCTTTGAAAGCGTGCTGCTGTTTTTCGACATTATGAGCCTTAAATGGGTACACACTCAGTGGTAACACCACAAACCCGTAAACACAACGCATGGGGTCACGTTCACAACACAGTAGTCAAATACACGTGCACGGGGTGTCATTCTTGATTTTGACGGTTTTCAAGAAGGTCGATAAATCACTGTAGACCATTAATCTTGACAATCACCATGTATCACACAGTTAATGTTTGTTTCTATCCCTTTTTTTGTGTTTGAAATTAAAATGGTACACATGCAAATTTCACGTCATACACCAATCATTTTTCAAGAGCGATTACTGTACGAACAACTATGGTCGTAAGGAAGAGCAGATGGTGATACACTCTCAAAACATTCATTATTATCACATAAATTGACTCTGATATATCTCGCAATTTTTTTAATCGTGAATTAAAAATGAAGTTCCCTACTTTTTTTGAAGAGAATATGCATATATGGTGACATTACAGTTACAAAATGTATCCCAGTGACTGATCTTTTGATTTCAAAAAGTATCAGCCGTCATGATATATTCTTCATCATGCTACAGTTACTTAATCAGATATTAACTAGTCACTCGTAACTCTGGTTGTGTCCATTTTATTATTCTAATAGAAAGCCTGAGATTGATGCGGATTATTGACAAATGATCATATTATGAGCGTATGAAGTACACACTATTGTAGGATCAATGTATGTTAGCTCCATCAGTTTAGCACCACCCAGGGCTCCAGACACCTCCAAAGTGTCTTGGGTCAGAAGCAGGATCTCCATCAGGATAATTGGCTGGCACCATAGTCTTCTTGTACTCCTCCAGCCTGGCTTGCAACTTCGCCACCATATCCGACATCGTTGGTGCAAGGTTGCTGTGCTCAGTAGGATCGTCTGGATGTGTGTCAGAATATCTGTTTAGTTTAATCATTAAAACAGCATTCATTCAGAACAATGATGGAAGCAGTCAGCGCTCTGGTATCTGGATCAAGCTTATATTAGTTATAATCGGAACATGAAAACCCAAAAACACTTATGAGTATGTGTCGGGTCCAACAGCTATTTACATATTCTTTTAAGGATCGGTGATTATCACGAGTCCCATCTAAGCACACAGCTAGGTTCAACGATGTTCGCCTACAATAACTATCAAAGATAACGCAGGTAGGTTAATTGCGTACCTCGAACGTTAAAGAGCTGGACTGGTTCATCTCCCGCATAGAAAACGGGTTGTACAAAGACATCATCCTCGGTTCTGTTCATGGGTTTGTGCCAGCCGTCGAAAGCTCCAGGATACCCCAGGATTAGTTTGTAGTCTCCTACCCTGATACATAGTAATTCAGACACTGTTACATTCAATGGATGTTTCTTTGCGTAAAATAAGATAACTAGCGGGCTGAGTGCAGCTGCATCTGATATTGCATCTGAAGGAGATCATTGATGCACAAATTGTCATAAATATCACATGGGTAATTCGTTTGAACGTAAAGGAACGTAAACATCTGAAAATACCTTATTGCAGCATGCCCTTCTAAGGCATCTTCAAAGTAGTCAATGTTGTAGATGAACTCTGTCCTTGGAGAGGGGAGGCTATTTCGAATAGAATCCCACTGACTTATTCCATCAATGGTAGTTTCTGTGTCCATATACAGTAAGGGAACATAAACATTTGAAGTACCTTGCCTACGTGTTCCTTTCGAAAGAGGTTAACAAGCTAAAGACAGTTTAAAATATCTTACCAGTTCTACAGTTACAACTTGATCGTTATTTTTGCTATTCTCATGAAAAAAAGGGGACATATTGAAGAATCTCCCCACCTGGTGTTCCCCCAGCAGCAGATACTAAAGTGGGCTTCCAGTCGACAGCGTGGATCATTCTGTTTGGAGGTAGAAGGAATTCACTTAGGAAATATACCATACATGTATGTTTGAAGCTCCCAAACAATGACTACAGCATTTCAAGTAATTTTAGTTGATGGACAAAATAAGGTGAGGTGAGGTGAACTTGGGTTTTACGTCGTGCTTGGGAATATTTCGCTAATATGACGACGTGATGGACACAATAAACAGAATGATGGCTATAAAAGGTATTTCGTTGAAAGTGTATTTTAAATGTTCTAACCTGCCATAAAATTAGTTTAGTGAAATTACGCGTCTGTAACAGGTTAGTGTCTATGCTATTGTTGTTGTGTTTTGCTGATTTTCGTGAATCGTGTTGAAATTGGTAGGGTAATTTAGTTTACTTTTGATCATCCCTTGAACACTTCTGTAAAACGTCTAAATGCATTTCATAGCGTTACCCATCGTGTGTTGTCCCAGTCTTCTGGAGCCCAGCACCATGCATGAAGGATGCTCCCCTCGTGCCCCCTTCCCAGATCGTGTACTTCCCTCCTCTCAGAGGCCAGTTGTTTGCATATGATTGGATGGGGCCTCCATTCTGAATGATCATTGTTTTGTCATAAGAAGGATTGACAAGATTAGAACTTTGATGACACATGACCATCTTTTCATACGTAAGAGGCGACTAACGGGATCGGGTGGTCAAGCTCGCTGTCTTGGTTGACATATGTCATCGGTTCCCAATTGCGCAGATCGATGCTCACGCTGTTGATCACTGGATTGTCTGGTCCAGACTCGATTATTTACAGACCGCCGCCATATAGCTGGAATATTGCTGAGTGCGGCGTAAAACTAAACTCACTCACTCACTGAACCAAACATGCTCATGTAGCAATTGAACGTATTTTTCAATCTCATATTCGTAATTAAAAAGTATGATGTTCATTATGTATTTCCATACAGCTGGTAGGTGGTTCACGCTTGCAATTTTGACAGACATACAATTACAACTTCTTTCATTCATCAAAAGATAACTACTTATACTTTCCAGATAAACAAGTACCTGTTGCTCCAACTATCATAAAAATATACTTTTTCATTAACTGAAACAAATGTGTACAAATAGCACTTGGACGTATTCCTGATGTTGTAATGTTCGTAATGTATACCATAGACCTCATATGTGGCATGCGTGTGGTTCTCTTTTTGCGGGATCCAGTTTCTGTCGTTCATGATTAGATGATTATTCGCAAGAAAGAAAAATACTGTTGCAGGCCTCCATTGCATGCTTTGTTGGCTTTAGGCAAACATTAAATATTGATAACAAGTATTCTAGGCTGATCAGTCACTGTTCAATACATTTTTAAACCGACATCAGGATTATTCTGTACGAAACTGGTGGAAAATAGTTCAACTACTTACATCTGCGGTGAATAGAATCAGAGTATTTTCAAACAAACCCCGATCCTTCAGGGCTTTGGTAACATTTCCCACTGCCTCATCCAGTGCAGAGACCATTCCTGAAGGGATTAGCGGTGATTGGTCAGTGCTTTGAACATTATGTCAGATATTTCATGGTGTCTGAACTTTATGATAGTCACTCAACTGAAATGCATGTTACAAAGTAAATTTGAAAGTTCTTCCTTTGTTAAGTATGTATATAGATTTCAGTAATAACTGTGAAGGAAATACGGATATTAAACTACATACCGCTGTATTGTCTCCGCCCTTCGTTAATCACATTTGGATACATATCCCCATATCTCTTCGGGACCTGTGATGTTAAACTTTGAGGTACATACGTTGACAAAAGAAACATATCCAAATCCAGTGAAAATAAACGTAAAAAGTATCCTCAGTAATACCGGAAGAATCCCGTTGGCATATAAACATTCAAGCCAATAACAGATGCCCTCATTACAGTGCTTTCTAGGTACATATTGATACTGGAGGTACACGAAAATGGTTTTGCTCCCAATGTTATATTAACAAATAAAAGGTAGATCGCCCTCACTGACAGAACCAATATATATGTTACGAGAAAAGATGTCGAAGTAGACTGGTGCACTTTCTCAATATACTGTGGATTTCATGTACCTCAATAGGAGCATGCACGCTCTGATACGGGAGGTACATAAACAACGGTTGTGATACATTGTGACGATGGATGATGTCAACGGCTCTCTGGGCGAATGTGTTCTGAAAGGAAAAACATGATGAATAGGAACGTTTACACTGCCCAAACCAACTAACGGCTCAGAGGATATAGATATATCGCAGAAAGTATGATTTTTAGAAAAACATTATCTTCATTGATATCACAAAATTGTTAAACATATTGTTAATTTGTTACAATACTTACAGCAGAATATTCTCCAGAATAGTTTCTTGAGGGAAGCGTATTGTCTCTGAAGTCCAAGTACCCCCCTGATGAAATATAAAAAAAATTTGGAACTGTTGTACACGTGTTCAAATGGACATAGTTGTACTGAAAATACATTTTAGAACCATATGCATCAAACAAACGGTGTCATGCGCACCGTCAGAGTGAGTGAAGTAGTCTTCAACCGCAACATAATAACCAAAGAAACTATCAAAGCCTCGGTACGTTGGGGTGCACTCCCACTTGCAAAAGCCAAGATGCCATCTGAAATTAAAGTGAAAAATAACAGTACCGTTTCGAAATGCCACTTAAAAATAATAAGATAAGTCCTTGATGTATGATAAAATGAAAATCATTGCAGAAACCGAAACGTCATGACAGCAGGCATGAATGAATTTATGTAAATGGTGTATTTAAGAATGAGAAAATAGAGATTCAAATATTCCATGTAATTTTTGATATGTTACGGTTTTTGTTTTGTTTTCCTTCGTAGTACCTACTTTCCAACCATGTGCGTAGCATAGCCGAGTTTCTTCAGTTCCTGAGGGGGGAATGTAAAGTTGAGGGGCACACACACTGATTGGTCACGGACAAGTGCCATATGCTGAAAAGGAAATTGACTGTCAGATCTTCCTATACACTCGCAGTTGATGTGAAGTGAAAATGAGTTTCTTCCAATGTTAGGAATGAGGACGAAAGTAGATATATACGAATGACCCCCGCTTACAGTCAGATAATACGCATTTCCAACAGTTCTAATTGAACAGTAAGTAACCTTAAAGGGCAGAACCTTAAAAGGCAGAACCTTAAAGGGCAGAAGAATTTCCCTTTACACAATCAACGTTGTTTCATGGACATCAACTACAATATAAGTATATTTATCCAAGCATTTATTTTCGTCCTAATATTTAAAATTATTACATGTAAGATGAATGGGTGACCCATTACAAATGTTACTTTAATTGGGAATAATTTAATCAACCGACCCTTAGTTTATCATTATTTCCTGAGTCTTTGGTGAGATTGATATTTTTAACATTGAAACATCCCACGAGTGATGACTGATATTTATCATTTTTGCATTACTGTTTCCCTGAATAGAAATGATTGCATCAGCATTAACATCAGTAACTTATCGTGTGTTGTGATACATGTTTTCCAGTGCAAACATTAGTTCCATTTGAACCCAAAATAACCACCTGTTGACTGTTTGTGTTGGCATATCTATTCGCTGAAAAAGGTGATCATCCTATTACTAATATTTACACATAATTCTTAAACAGTGTTTGGCAAAATAAATGAAACTTAAAAATGGTAACAACAACACAACAACAATTCTGTGTGATTTGATTATATTATATAATTTCACTGCTTTCGAATCAAACCATCTGAGAGCTCAGATCACGCTTTAGTCTGTGTCGCTGTCACTGTCGATGACAATCCAGAGTCCAATCCGAGTGGAACCCGGCTTGAAGGTTTCACGAGATTAATCGTTATGTTTCCACCAGTAACGTTGCCGGCAAACATAGTGTTGACACCAGAAAGGTATACAAGTTCTTTGTAAACATGTGCTCTTGTGTGTCGTCGACAAAAGCATACTTAAGTGGTATGTTTTAATGTCATAGGCTTGTCATAGATAAATGCGTTAACTTAAATGATAAAGGATGTATTTACCTGCATGCCTGTATGGAAAGGATACATTCCACTCATAAAAGCGGTACGGGATCTGAAAGAGTGTGAAGTGATATCCGTGTAATATTGTGATACCATCACACGGGGAGTTCAGTAAGATCCAACCCCATTTGGATTTTGGGTTTCGAAACACACACACACACACACACACACACATATATATATATATATATCCTGAAACCCGGTGTATCCCACTGAGTGGACATTTAGATGTCTGTGCGAAAGGAAATCATTTTAAATGTACAATATTTCCTTTTTATCAAGTTCAAAATTCGGACAAAGTAAAACGAATTTTAAAAGAACACTACTTCATAGATAAGTTCAAACTTATGTTAAACCATTGAAAGCTTTGACCTTGTCGCTCTAGAATGTTGTCCCTATTGTGACGTCACAATATATATATGTAATGACGTCATACTATAACTGCTACAATCTCCCTGAGTGAGTGAGTGAGTTAGTATTTAACGTCACATCGGCAATATCGCAGCCATATCGTGACGAAAACAATTTATACAATAAAAAGTGAAATGAGAACATTTGACATTGAAATGGAATATATGTACGTTATAAAAACCTGTCGACGAAGGGCAGTAAAACAACGAGAATATCACAATTACAACTAACACTATACTAGCCACATAAAGAAACTGTGCACACAGAAAATTCCTTCAGAATTGGCATACAACACAGAAAAGACGAAATGATGTAGACACGTTATAAGCTGAAGTATCGGGCCACAACAGCATGTCAAAAGAACATGAACAATATCCGTAACGATGACGTCAGAAGTTCAAAATTGAGTAGGGGGTCACACGACGAAGTCACAAAGTCAATAACGGGTATGACCATCATGCGCGTGAAGCACAGCAGTGCATCGACGACGCATATAGGCTACCAAATGAGCATTGAAGGCCCGGGGAATGGTTTGGGACGTGGTCACTGCCGTCTGGAACCTGTGTCTGAGATTATTCACCCGAATCCATCTGTCCTGTCTTGACGTCGTTACTCGGGGCCGCCCAAAACGTGGTTGGTCGGCGACGTCATTACTGTTTCCATAACGCCTGACCAATGCAGATATCATGTTACGATGGCATCTGAAATGTGCTGCCACCTGTTGTTGGCTCATGCCTGCTCGAACAATTCCAATGGTTTCGTGAGGTTGAGCAGATGTTAATTGTGGCATGATGTGCATGTGACTTCTCATGTGAATTTGTGAACGTTTGAATTACCAAAGATCAAGCTTTCGACAGTGACAGCAATGTCTGAGTTTCACATGTTGTGTGCAGCTGCACAGAATGTACGTGCAGTAACACATTGCAAGGCCATAGGCCACCATCAATGACGTCACGTCGCCTGGCACCTGCATGAGCGTTTGATTGTCTCCAATACTTGCTATGTTCACACCTTTATTTATGTATAAAGACACTGTCTGTCTATCTTTATATTTTCTGTGTGCACAGTTTCTTTATGTGGCCAGTATAGCGTGGAGAGTTAAAACTAATAGCACTATTTGGACAATACAATATAAAAACAGGCTATAGATCGCCAACACCAGAAGGTAGATCACCATACCAGGGACACAATCTCCTTGAAGAGTAAAGAACGAAACATGTTGGGGGAAAGGCATTCTGTTTTTATTTATCTATGTTGTATATATACATATATACATACATACATACATACATACATACATACATATATATACCTACATATATATATACACCTATATACATGCATACATTTATATATATATATACACACCTATATACATACAGTAGAACATGGATATAGCGAACACGGATATAGCGTACAAACGGATATAGCGAACAAATTTAAAAGTCCCGTCAACAGTCCTTTATAATATCATTAAAATTATACGCGAATAACGAACTCGTGAGTAGCGAATTAACGGCTATAGCGAACTGATTTACTACCCCCAAGACCCAATTAAGGACGTGATTAGCGAACTCACTCAGTGTCAGCTCAGCCACTTAGCGGTACAGTATACATCAATCTTGTTGGTGGTGAATCAACATTGATTGATGGTCATTAATTAATTAACAAAACAAACATATCGTGTTTAACCCATTCAACAACCTTGCATTTTCATTAAAAAATAAAATAAATTTATTTAAGTTGTAGTTGTATTATTTCAATTTTATTATAAAAATAAACTTCATATTTATCAACATGATATAGGTAATGTCTGTGAATGTCCTCATCTCTACAATCCAAGATGGCGGTCAAATGTGAATAACGAACAACGGATATAGCGAACTAAATTTCTTGGTCCCTTGGAGTTCGTTAT